CGCGCCCGGTGGAAAGAACCCGCCCTCCCGGGCGCCGCGCCTTGGAGAGGCGGGGCCCTTTGTGGGAAGATCTTGGGGCGCGCCCCTCCCCTCGGCCCGCGGCTGCCCCCACCCCCCTGCCGAGTACACCCGGAGCCCCGCAAGTGCCCGGGGAAACCGAGCAGCGGGGCGCCCTGGGACTTGGTTCATGGGGGCCGCGCCCCAGGGGCCAGGCTCCACACCCCTTTTAGGGTGGGGGATGTGAGCGGAGCGGCTGGCGTCCGGGGGACAGGTGAGCAGCACCCCAAACCAGGACCCTGTGCGCAGTGCGTCCTCAACCCGGGACCCGAGGCGCGCGCGCCCCAAGTCCGCCAGAGGGAGGTGCGGTCAGGGCGGTCAGGGCGGGGTGCGGGCGCCCTTGGCCGGCCTTGGCGCCTGGGGCAGGGCGCATCCCGGTCGGTCCTTTGGGGCGAGGGCGTCTGCTGGGTGCTGAATGATCTCCAGGGACCGCGCACGGGCTTTGGCATCACTTCACAGCACAGCTTCGAGGCTGTGTGTTTTCCGTATTGTCTGTACCTCCCATCCCTTTTGCAAGGCTTTCGGGAGCCAGTCCTTTGATCCCCCTCCCTCCTCCCGAAGTAGAGGGGTAGTGTGTGCTTTTGGAGGGACAGGACCTTGGCTCTGTGGGGCAGTGATAACGCCAGGGGGACCTATCGCGGGTACTGGAGAACCCGGGAGAACCGCCGCCCTATTTTGCGTGTCAGAACAGTCAGGGCAGCCTGACTTCCTTTGCCCCAGGAGTTGAGCCCCCAGGAGTCCTGGAGAGCTGCCAGTGGCCCTCGGAATGTTCCCCTAAAATGCATTTTACTGAGGCCCTAGAGCAGGTGAAGAGAGGCGTTTCCTAGACTCTCCGGGCAGCGAAGGGGTGAGGAGGGACCTCTGGTCCCCTTGCACAGCGCTCTTCAGCTGTAACTGGGATGGCAGCTGCGGTCACTGTCACTTCTGACAGAGCGCCCTTTCCCTGTCCTGACCCACACCCATCTTTATCCCTGTGAAATGCGTGGCAGTACACCTTTTAATTCCGTCGCAGGACAGCTCCGTGGAGTCCTGCTGGCCCCTTTGGGCAGGTGAAACACTCTGCCCAGCTAGCCAGCATCTGCGATCATACGCTGTCTTTTGACTTGGCATCACTTTCACCAGCCTGCTGATGCCACAGGGCGATCCTTTAACCAGGGACTTCTCCTTGCTCTTCAGCTCCGCTGCCACGACAGGGAGACTAGGGAAGCCTGTTTGACTTTCGGAACTAAAGCTCAGCTGCAAGGTACCCAGATCCATCTCTGTGTTGCAGCCCTGTGCACTGGGTGGCCTGAGAGGCGGAGGCGGACTGCATGGTCAGCGCTGTGTGAGCTCTCAGCGTTCTGTGGAAGACAGCATGGGCTGAACTGGAACTGACCTGAATGTCAGCAAAAGGAGGTATGGTTTGGTGCTTGGCTGCCAGGAGCCCCATAGCAGAGGGAGGGTGGGTAGGAGGCTGGGCACTGCCCACCGTGTAATAAAGAAGTGCCTGATTGGAGGTCTGGGAGAGCAACATATTTTTATGGAAAAAAGCTCCAAGTTTCTAAATATGGCAACTCATTAAAAACGTTTAAAATGTACAAGGTGACTGAATTACGGTGGAGGCTGGTTGAGGTCACAGCCTGTGTTAGACCTTTGAAGGTACTTACTGTCTTGCTGAAATGGAGTGAAGCAGGGCTGGAGGGGAGAAGTGCTATCTTCTGGAGGTTTTTCTTTAAGAACAGAATCAGCAGCAAAAGTAGAGGTGGCTGTCAGTGCTGCCTGCAGATTGGGGGAAGGTTTGACCTTATGCCTTGATATTTCATGCATTCAGTCTGTACCTATCTTGCCTGTGGTTCTGGTCCTACCCCAAGAGAGAATGCAGATGAGGAGTTTTTATCTGTCTCCATGGTCACTGTGTGTGCCCAGCAGTGGAGAGAATGGCATTCGTGGCAGATATGTTCAGGGACCCCCGGGGAACAGAAAGGGGAGAGTTTTCAGTCTGCTAGGTGCAAAACAGGAGGAAGTACCTTTGAAGTTTTATTTTGGTTTGTGTTTATTTTCAAGTCACAGGTAGGCGAGTACTGTGTGAAGAGCGAAGTTTGAAGTAGGGGAGCCCATCCCCAGCCCAGCCCCTTACAACGGGTGCCCTTGGGTGCATGATGAAGAGCATGCCTGGACTTAGCCAGTTTTCAGGAATATGAGTTATTATCAGACGTTTTTCAAGTGCAGTCATATATAGGAAAAGAAATTAAGATTCCCTCCACCTCTGCTCTACTTCCTGTGCTCACTTCTGGGCTAATTGCTATAGATGTATTTCTTTCTAGAGCTTTTTCAGTGCATAAGTACATGTGCAACAAGTCTGGAAATACAGATGAATATTTTATATGTGGTTTATTGACATTATAGTATGAGACATAGTAAGTTAACATCATCTGCCTTTCTAACTGTGAGACAAACCTGAAATGATTGAATATATTTTGTAAAATTGTAAATGGGGCCGGGCATGGTGGCACATGCCTATAATCCCAGCACTCGGGAGGCTGAGGCAGGAGGATCATTGCTTGAGACCAGCCAGGGCTACAAAGTTGGCAAGCGCAAGGTCGTGAGTTCAGTTCCCGGTACCGGAGAAAAACCACAAAAAAAAAAAAAAAAAAAAAAAATAGTAAATGGGGGATATGATGTATCTGTGACTAACTTTTTTGATGTTAGTGATATGACTTGGAGGGAGGTTTTTCAATGTTAGTTAACAGGTATACTTTTTAAAATGGCTACTGTTATTTATTTGAACATTCCTGTACTGGTGGACCCCTAAATTGGTCTCAATTTTTTTTTTTTTTTTTTGCAGTATTGGAGATTGAACCCAGGACCTTTGCATTGAGCTACACTCCGCCCCTTTTTATTTTTATTTTTTAAAATTTTGAGACAAGGTCTCACCCAGTCACTATATTGCCCTTGCTGGGCTCAGACTTTTAATTCTCCTGCCTCAGCTTCCTAGAGTGCTGGGGTTATAGGCTTGTGCCACCAACCTCAATTAGCTGGTTTCCAACTTAATATATCTGTGCTTCTTTATTTGTATACATATAGAGTATTTCTGGATAGAAACTGTTCCTGGAAGTAGGATCAGTGGGTCAAAGAAAATGTGCATATTGAAGTTATTTAAGCACAGTTCTCTTTGCTTATTGAGGTCTGAGAGATTGTGCTCAAAATCAGATTGAGTTAACTTACATATTTACATTTACTCAGAGGGGATAGGCAGTGTATGGAAAAGGTACAACGTTTGTTGGGCCTTGTGGCACAGGCCTGTAACCCCAGCATTCTGGGAAGCTGAGGCAGGAAGGTCACAATTTCAAATTCAGCCTGGGCAGCTTAGCGACTTAGTGAGAATTGTCTCAAAATAAACAAGAAGTGGGCTAGAGGTATAGCTCAATGTGAAGGCCCCAAGTTTGATCTCCAGTGACTCAGAAAAAAATGAAAAGAGGCAGAACATTTAGAAGTTATAAAAGGTAACATTTTCCTCCAATTCTTGTTCTTAGCTTTCTGTTTCCCTTTGGGGATATAACTAATTTTGCCATTTTTATCTATTCTTTCAGAGAGATGCATGTACTTACAGGCAAATAAAAAATATATATATCATTTACTGTTTGCCTTTCAAAAATAAACATAATAGCATGCTGTATAACCTCTTCTGCATATGGCATTTTAAAAGTTTACCCTAGATCTTGGAGACCGTTCCTTATCAGTTCTGTGCATGTTATATACTGATAGAGTCTCCCAAATTTACCCTTTAAAAAAATCTTCAACCAGTTTACACTTCCTCTAATGGCTTGATCAAATCCTTTGCCAGTTTTTCTGTTGAATTGTTTATAATTTCATCAGTTTGTGTAATTCTTTCTGAACCCTGGACTTTAATTCTTCTCATGTTAGTAAATACATATCTAGCCTTTTTTTTTAAATCTTCTCCAACTTTACTTATCAATCTTTGATGCTACAGAAGTATTTCATGTGTACGAGGTCGTCTCTGTATCATTTTGCTTTGTGGCTGCAGGCTTTCCGTTTTGCCTAGGATGTCCTCTCCTAGATACACATTGCATTTTTCTAATTTCTTCTTTCCTCTTCATTCTTTCTTTGGCTTTCTGTATCTAAGAATACTCTAAACTGTTGCTACTTTTCCTTTTCATTTCTTCACCTCTCTCCTCTCTGTGGCACCAGGTGGGTCAGGGTGAGCTTCTTTAGCCAGTCTGTATTTCCTTTGACCTTTACAGGGGTGTTTCTTTTTCGTTTCTTTTTTTTTTTAACCAGCTTTTTATTTATTTATTTTTATTTTTATTTTTTTCTTCCGGTACCAGGAATCGAACTCATGACCTTGCACTTGCCAGGCAGGCGCTGTGCCACTGAGCTAAATCCCTAGCCCTTAACCAGCTTTTTAGAGTGGGCAGAGGGAGCAGCATGCAAAACCCCTCAGTTGGGGAGCAGCAGCGAGAGTCTGGGATACAGGCAGCAGAGGTGGAGGTCATCTACCAGTGAATATTTTCTGCAGGAGCCAGGGGAACGTGGCGCAACCAGGTCTGCATAGGGAACGATCCGTCTGGCCAGAGTGGCAAGGACAGATTGGACTGGGGGCGAGATCAAAGATAAGAAGATGAGATGAAAACATCTACTAGTAACAGCAGAGTGAGGGTGAGGCTCTGAACTGAGGAAACAGCAGTGAGGATAAGGTTGTTTTGATTTAGTGGCAGTGGGGATTGGACCCAGGGCTTTGTGCTAAGCCCTGGAGTATATCTTCAGTCCCTTTCTCACTTTTTATTCTGAGATAGAGTCTTGCTAAGTCATTAAGTTGCCTGGGCTGGGCTTGAACTTTTGATCCTTCTGTCTTAACTTCCTAGGGTGCGAAAATGATAGGCCTTCACCACCATGCCCAACTGAATTAGAGTTTTGTGATGCATTGGATATCTGCAACAGGAATGGGAGAGGCCAGCATTTATTGCTTTCTGTACATTATCTCATTCAATCTCGTGAGTCTGTATGGAAACCCAAGGCTCAGGCATGTTCATTAACCCACCAGAGGTCATGCAGTCAGAAAGTGTTGGTCAGGACCTTGGTACCCGCATCAAGATTACCTGCCGAGAGTGGCCTAGGATATCCTTGGTTTCTGTTTTGAGAGACTGGGTTGGCAGTGATGTTGTATCTAGGGTACAGGAAGAATAGCATATTGGGATGTTAGAAGGAGAGATGATGAGTTCTCTGTTGTACACTGTTATATCCAAGGTGCCTGGGTGTGACAGAGGAGAAAATACCTGCCAGATGGGTGGACCTGAGTCTGGGTCTTAGAAGTGTTTTCTAGCCGATAGCTGGAGAATTTGGAGTCACTGGGTTTGAGTGAGCATGGAGAGTGTGTTAGTCAGCTTTTTGTCACTTTGATAAAGTATCTGACACAAACAGCCTAAAGGAAGGAAAATTTAGTTTGGCTTATGGTTTCTGATGTTTCAGTCCATGGTCAGCTGGTTCCATTGCTGTGGGGCCTGAGATGAAGCACAGCATCACAGCAGAAGGGTGTGTGTGGTGGGGCACAGCTGCTCACCTCATGGCAGCCAGGAAGCAGAGAGAAAGAGGAAAAGGGCCAGAGAGGAAGGGGCTGGGGACAAGAGGTAGGCCTCAAGGTGACACTCCCATTATCTATTGTTTCAACTAGATCTACTTCCTGTGTCCATGACCTCCCAATAATGCTATCAAACCGTGATCTTGGTGGATTAATCCATTTGGTGAAGTTAGAGCTTTCATGACCCAATCATTTCCCCAAAGCCCATCAGCTTGCCTTTGGGGGACCTTTTAGATCCAGACCATAACAGAAGGAACATACAGAGAGATGAAGTATCAAAAAAGATCCTTTCTTTTGTGAGTGGTAGAGAATCCTATTCAAATTTACTTAAGCAGAAAAGAAAGTTACTGGTTTACCTCACTAAAAATCACAAGGGGAAATATGGTTTCAGTATAGGTTCAGGGCTTGAGTGATTTCAGTACGATTTGTTTTCTTTTCTTCCTTGTCCTAACCTTCCTTCACGCTAAGGCTGTGGGTGGCGGCTCCGGCAGTGATCCCAACCACTGTTCCCCTATGTGTCATAAGCTCTGCTGGGTCAAAGCGAGTTGGGAGGTGGGGATGGGAGAGGCGTGTTATATGTCCATGTCAACAAAGGCATGTGGAATCCGGGTTGGAACAGGGTGGATCAGCAGAGGAAACTCGAGGGCAGCTTCCAGAGCATGGGGAAGTGATCTTGATGGGGCTACAATTCATTTCCTCCATGGATAAGCAAGGGGGAAACAACAACACATACTGGGTGGGATGATTAGCAAGTGATCAAGACTGGGATGGGGCTAAAGGAGGCAGAGGCAGGGCAGAGCAGGATCTGGGGAGTCAAGGG